AGTTGAAATTGACCCTAAGGACAAGGAGAAAACTGCGTTCTCGACGGGAAAGGGTCTGTGGCAATTTAAAGTAATGCCGTTTGGGTTGTGCAATGCTCCAGCAACCTTTGAAAGGCTGATGGAACTTGTACTTACCGGGCTAATTGGCGATGCCTGTCTGGTCTACTTGGATGACATCATCATCGTGGGCCGTACGTTTGAGGAACACCTTCAAAAACTGGAACGCGTACTCATGAAGATTCAGAGTGCCAACCTCAAGCAGCTTGGAATGCCAGAAGAAATGTTCACTATTCAAACTGCAAGTCAACTTTTTGGGGTATGTAGTGTTGGAAGAAAGTAACCGCATGGATCCAGAGAAAATCGCAGCTGTAAAGGATTGGCCGGTTCCAAAAGACAAGACGCAGCTTATAGCATTTTTGGGTTTGTGCTCCTATTACCGGCGATTTGTGAAGAACTTTGCAGATATAGCCAAACCTCTGCATAAGCTAACCGAGGAGAAGCGACATTTCTGCTGGGATGAAAGTTGTAATATCGCATTCCAGGAGCTCAAGGACCGTCTGTGCAAAACACCTATTTTGGGATACCCTGATGCAAGCAAAGAATTTATAGTTGACACAGACGCAAGTGATATAGGACTTGGCGGTGTATTGTCTCAAAGGAATGGTGACCAAGAGGTCGTGATAGCGTACTTCAGCAAGTCGTTGTCAAAACCGGAAAGGAACTATTGTGTCACAAGACGCGAAATGCTAGCACTGGTAAAGTAGTAGCAGCATTTTAGCAAATATCTACTGGGGCGAAAATTTCACTTATGAACTGACGATGCTGCACTAAAATGGCTATTGCAGTTTAAATATCCAGAAGGACAAGTTGCGAGGTGGATTGAACTACTGCAGGTATACGACTTTGAGATCGAATTGAGGGAAATTGGAGATATGTAAGAAGACCTTGTCTGAGATTGCAATGTATAGGGGTAAGGAAGGGCCGTGAGGATGCTCAGGGCCAACCACCTTAGCAACGAGTGGAAGGATAGCTTTCAACGTGCACAGCAGGAAGATCCGGACATCAAGCCGATCCTGGAATGGATGAGGGCCAGTGCTCCCAAGCCCAAGTGGAGCGACGTCTCAGCGATGAGTTCGACCACTAAAAGCTATTGGGCCCAGTGGGACAGCTTGCTGCTTCAGGATGGAGTTCTGTGCCGTAAATGGGAAAATGTTCGGGGAGACAGCTGTCATTTTCATGTGGTTGTCCCTAAAGCTAAAGTACCGGATGTTCTACAGCTGTACCATAATGGTTATTCAGGAGGCCATCTGGGAGTTAAACGAACTCTACTGAAGATCCGAGAACGGTTTTATTGGGTCCACTGTCGAAACGATGTCGAGGACTGGTGTCGCAAATGTACAAGTTGTGCGGCTGTAAAGGGACCTCAGACTCCTAGTAGAGGTGCATTGAAGTTGTACAATGTGGGTGCACCATGGGAGAGAATAGCCATTGACGTGGCGGGGCCGTTTCCGGAGAGTGAAAGCGGTAACAAGTATTTCATGGTTGTGATGGATTACTTCACTAAGTGGCCAGAAGTCTTCGCCATTCCAAATCAAGAAGCTTCAACAGTTGCAGATAAACTAGTTCATGAAGTCTTCTGTCGTTTTGGAGTACCTTTAGAGATTCACAGCGATCAAGGAAGGAATTTTGAGTCTCAAATATTACAGGAAACTTGCCGAGTTATGGGTACTCATAAAACTAGAACGACTTCTTATCACCCGCAATCTGATGGAATGGTAGAACGATTTAATCAGACATTGGAGAGGTACCTAGCAAAAGTTGTAGACAATCGGCAACGAGATTGGGACAAGTACATACAACCGTTTTTGTTTGTCATATCGAAGCGCTGTTCACGAAAGTACAGCAGTGACACCAGCTTTCGCAAACTTTGGAAGAGAATTACGGCTGCCTGCAGACCTGATCACCGGGATACCACCTGATGCTCCACGCAGTATAACCATTATAGATTATGCAAATGACTTGCGGAACAAAATGAATGACGTTTATGAGCACGTCAGACAATCGGGCCAGCAAATGCCTGAAAAGATGAAAACCCGGTATGACCGCAAAATGAACAACAAAGGGTTCGACGAAGGTTCACTTGTGTGGTTGCACAATCCAGTCCACAGCAAAGGGAAATCTCCTAAGCTTCAAGCTAAATGGGACGGCCCGTACCGGATTGTGACCAAGATCAACGATGTAACCTACCGGATATAGAAAAGCGCAAGAGGGGCTCCTAAGATCGTCCATGTGGATCGCCTGGCGCGTTATTATGGGGCCGATAATGCTCGGGACGAGCATGTCTTAGGAGGGGACAGTGTTACGCGCTCAAGTCTACGGCACTAGCGACATCTAGTCTCGAACCGAAGAACTAAACTTCTTTAAGTTGAAACACGAACTCTCGGTACCTTGCGCGTGTTTACTTGAATATTCTGGATATTTCGCTGCTAATTTATATAAATAGGCGCTGCAAGATGCGATCGGGGAAGTGTTGATTTGGCGAGACAAGCGAAGCTTCGGAGCGGAATTAAGAGAATCAGTGTGATTAATTATTAGTGTTTTTAACTTTAATTAGTGTAAAGGGTATTAAAGTGTTAATTTAGGTAATTCTATCGGCAATTTTTATTGTCACGAACCTCAAGCTCGTAACAATAAGTATAAAATTTCACTACGACAATGGCTGGTAGAAAAAACATTTTCTACAGTAAATGAGTCTTTGAATTGTAGTGATTAAGTAGTTTTATCGTAATTAAAAATCGATGCATTAATTAATTAATTTATAAGAATTTATTTATTTATAAATATTGTGAAATGACATTTTAGTTATTTATATAGATTAAATTTAGTAATTAATTATATTATGATAACTTTTGATTATTTGCATGCCGTTGAAAACAGCTAAATAGGTTTTCTTAATACAATAACAGTGATAACACCAAGAACAAAATATTTCGTACCTATTTAGTTGCAAATAAAGAATTTGAATTTGAATTTACTAATCCAAGTGCATTTTATAAGTTGGTCGACTATTATTACTTAACAATATATATACTACAATTGTGTATATTTTTCACACTTCCAAAACACAGACATACATGCTATATACCTATACTTGTAGCACGAATGGGTCGGCTTGACCGGGGAAGGACCACTCTCTTAAGGAATACCAGCGTAAAATGCTGCTGTGTTTCGTATAGTGAGTGTAGAGAGCGGATACCATTTTTACCGGAAACGGGGCATTCCATCTTAGTCCTCACGGGTGACAACGCATCTGCATTTTGTTTCGTAATCGAGGATAGATGTAGATGTTTATGGGCCACAGCAACCACTTACCATCGGGTGGACTGTGTGCTCGTTTGTCACCCTATCCTATAAAAAAACAGTGGTTTAGTTGATACAGAGAAGGAGTGGGCATCATGACATGACTCTATTGAAAAAACCACTACAACGCTAAATATTTCGCAAACGGACCTATGAATCGAAAAATATTGTTCCTTTCCCCCCAAATATTTTTGAAAGATCTATCTATCTTACACGAGGAAATAGACGGAAAAAAATCATTCAACCTTTACACAAAATAAAAATGTTTTTATTTTTTATTTTAGTTCACAGTTTTATAGGCGTGATTAATATATATATATATATATATATATATATATATATATATATATATATATATATATAGATATATATATATAGCTATGCTAAACTACGGTTTTGTAGCACCTAAGGTCTCTGAGTAAAACCGCGGACGGACGGACATGGCGAAACTACAAGGATTCCTTGTTGTTTAACTACGGAACCCTAAAAATTGAGAGCCGTAGTAACTGAGGAGTAAACTTTTATAAATGTTACGAGTATATTGTGCGAGCAACACGAGCGCGATTTTAAGAGGTCGGTCTTAAGGGAAGACATAGTGAAAACCGTTCACAGAAAATATCTTGAGAACACCTGCATGTGAGAAATTAAATAACATTTCGAGTTTGTGTTAACACACATTGTATTGTATTGAAGACTACGTGCATTGGAGCAGATTTTTCTTTCTAAAAATCTTCTCAGCTATTAGAGAAAGCTTGTGCAGTGTTACCAAGCCGATTTTTCGCTATTTTGGCTACCTCTATGGGAATTGGGGCGACCAAAAATCTCCTAAAGAAAAAGCATTTCTATGAACTTTGTAATACAAATTTCGAAATTTAGATTTTGCGTGTGGCTTTTTGAGTAATTTATTTATCGTTGCAATATTTTCTACGGTTCTATTTTTTAACTCCTTTTGGAAAATTAAGCGGAAACACCACTTGAATTTTATTATTTTGAGTTAAAAAAATATATAAATCTTTTTGGAAAAATAGAAATCATTTAAATAATTGGGCTTCTTTAGTCTACCATGCGCTCAATTTTAAGCGACTTGGACTAAGCTAGACTTGGCAACGTTTGGCTTGTGCCCAGCGGTGGGACACATATGTTTAATATTTTAGTTTATTCTCTCATATCGTGACTGGTTTCACACTTCCGTTTTGTTTATCGATCCATATAAGCTTACTGCTGACATTGAAAATGAGCCTCATCTATTTATTGTAGGGGGAATTTACCTTAGTTATATTTTTTAAGGGATGGGGATGACCAGCGAGCGTAAAGCCCACCTGATGGTAGGCTTTAGATGATAGGGCCTAGGTCCATTGACCTATCGTATATCATCGATTAAAAATCAAAGTGCAGCTGCATTGTTGCATGCCTGAGGACTAGGATGGAACGCCTCGTATCCAGTAAAAAGGGTCTCCGATTATCTACACATACCATACGAAACACAGCAACATTGAACTGATATGTTACGCTGGTATTCTGTAAGAGGTCCTTCCCCAGTCGAGTCGACCCATTCGTGCTACAGCCATATGATAGCTGTAGTGTGGCTCTACCACGTAAAAAATATATATTATACAAATATTTAAATAAAATGGACTTACTTCCACCTACAGTACTCAAAGCAGCGAGGCGAGAGAGCTGTCGTAGTAGTAACTAGAGCTAACAGAATCGACAGATTCATAATTAAATAACTAATTCTGACTGCAGGTTACAACTCGGTCGCACTTATTATGACTTCATTAAGCACGCAAAATAATTCGTCACGAAACGGTTTCGCGGGAATCGGCTGGCGATAACCGACTTGTCAGCGGATTGCGGCGTGCCGCTGAGCAAGGCCTTTAAAATTTAACTCCATGTACGATACATGTGCACATGTGTCGCAATTTCTAAGAGTTACTTCAGCTTTATTTATGGAATAAAGTTGATCAACGAGCACACATTCCTTACAGAATAAGTGGATTCTGTGACCCACAGACATCTACATTTATCCTCGATTAAGAATCAAAATTCAGATGCGTTGTCACCCCTGAGGACTAAGATGGAATGCCTTGTTTCCAGTAATAACAATCCAGTAATAGGGTCTTTGGTCTTCTACACTCACCATACGAAGAAGCATTAAGCTGCTATTTTACCACGTAATAAAATTCAAATTTATCCACTCTTCGACTTTACTAAAATAACCTGTTTGGATATAGAAATGTCGCGTTGCAGGAATGATTTATGTTGATCGTCACGCTTGGGAATCGACAACCCAGTATTAGAAATCTGGCACCTTTTCTTTATTTTTTATTTAAAAAAAATTTCCTCACTAGGATTTTCATCCATCAATCATTTCGATTTTCAATCAAAATTCAATCCATCCAGACCTGAAACAATTATTTGTGCCATACAAATACCTACCTGTCCCGTGCGAGAATCCCACCTATTTGCCTAGGAAACTATTCATCACTTACGGATGATTTTATAAGAGTTTGCGCCTCGGTAAACATAACCGATACACTCCAAAAACGCTAATAGGTTTAATCTCTTTATAGGACTAAAAGAGCATGTGCCAACTTTTTCTACAAATGCCAATCTGCTCCTTCCTTGACGATCGAACGACGCTCTAGCCACCAAATAAACAATGAATACAGAAAAACATCCAAACGAACAATTATGTTCGTTTTAAACATAAATTAAACACTCACACCTGTCACCCAGAGGGGTAGGCAGAGACTACGGACTTCCATTTGGCACGATCCTGACACACCTCTCTCGCTTCCTTCATATTCATATACCTACGCATATATGCTCGTCGGTTAAGGGTACTTCTAATTTGGCCCGTTTTCAATAAATCGCCAATTTGGTCGATAAATTTTCGCCTAGGACGTCCCTTTCCGACTCTGCCATTCACTTCTGCAACATATATTTTCTTTGTAACTTTCCACATGACCAAACCACCGAATCATTCCTTTCTTAATCCTGGCCACAACATCGTTTTGCAAACCACACTGTTTTCTTATCACATAATTTCCCACCCTGTCATTCAGATTCAGCCCTAACATACTCCTTAACGACCGCATTTCTACTGCGTTAATTCTACTCTCGTGCTTCTTCTGCCACACCCAACTTTCACTACCATACGCTAAAGTAGGGACCAACACAGCATTGTGAATTGCCATACGGGCCTTTTTTTGACACACTTTGACTCTTCACCATAGAGTGTTTTCTGTTCCTGCTCGTTTTACGACGAGTTCGTTTTAACGACGCTGTTCATTTTAAATATATAAAAATATTCAATTATAATTAATAATTAAAGTTGGTAAGAATTGCTTCGCCCATATCCGCTCAATTAAATAAAATGATATGTCTTACCTAGTTTGAAGAGTACCTCCCGCCCTCCCTCAATTGCGTGCACTAATTCCGTCACCACTAATAAAATAAATCAGCACAACTACTCCCAACACCACTGCACTTGGAACGACACGTTTTCACCTCTACACGAGGCATCCTCAGGCGATGTAGACTCTGCGGTGGCTGACCGCTAATCTTATTCATTGAGCGGATATGGGTGAAGTAATTTTTACCAACTTTAATATGATGGATTTTCGCAAAGTAACGCCTGATTCTATTAATTATAATTACTAAGTTAATCTGGGTTAACCAAACGTCATTTCGCATATTTTATATTACAAGTAGATTTCAGAAAATATTATATTAAAAAAATTACCATGTCATTTTAAATTGTTTATAGTCAGTTTCACTTTTTATCTCAGAGTAAGTACAAGCATATTATGATTTATGCTATTAGTCTAAGTTTTTTATTAAAAACATGATTGTTGGACTAAAATTTAGCTTTGCAATACGCATTTACATCAGGTACACTTGTAGGACGTGTATAATTCAAACTAAAATGGATTTTTAACCAACTTAAAAAGGAGAAGGTACTCAATTCGACTATGTACCTTTTTATGTGAGTTACCTCAGAATTTTTTTTATGATTTCTATTCTATTTTGATGATTCTTTATTTCTTTACAATCTGATGTTTCTAGTGTCAAATCAATGTCAAGTCACATAAATTTGATCAAGTTCTGACCAGTAGTTTCTAAGTCATCCTTAACAATGCGTGTTTAATTGACTTCGAATTGTTCTTATTTTATTTATATTGCAGTTGGTTGTACAATTTTTTTTATTTTACCACTTGTTTCATCATTCTTTAAGGCATATCAAAAGTCACATAGTACCAATTAGAAATAATCATAATTTCCCTCATATTTGCCACAGTGGCCACATTTGGTAGGCGGGTTGGTGACTGCAGTTTTTTTTTTAATAATTTAGGAGCTGTTATCAAAAAATGCTAATGCTCTTTCTCCGTTTCTTTCCTCTGTCGCCTCTGACACGCACGAGATAATATGACGTGCTTAGTTGCTACGGTGCTAATGGGTTGCAAGCGTGGCATTTAAGGCAAATCCTGCCTGCAAATGAAGATACTTGGCGGTGGACTTTTGCAGGCTGATGGAGTAGGATAATTTAACACAATGCGGTCAAAACATAAAATAAATAGCTATTGAAGGGGGAATAGCTTTTCATCTTAATCACGCTGCGGTATTTGGCTGCATCATGAATGGACCAGCTCAGCCCGGGAATGACAACACTCGTACCAGAGTAAAATAGCAGCATTAATGCTGCTGTATATTATGTAATGAGAATAAGAGAAATTTTTAATTAGAGGTTCTATCTTAGAACTTAAGACTGACATCGCATTAGTATTTTGATCCTAAATCGATGACAGATCCGCGCCTAAACAACCGAGACACAGGGTAAAATACTTTCAATTTCTTAGACCAGGCTGCTACTGATTTTTTTTTACAGAAAACCCAAATAACTTATTGCTTAACCCAGGCTTCGAATCCGGAACCTCGTAATCAGCAACCGCATTTACGACAGAGACCAAAGATGCAGACAATTAAAACAATAACGATACTAAACGTCAAACTTCAAAACAAAAACAACCACGATATCCTCCAGATACCCTCCAGTACAATGAACTATAGAGCTGGCTTTCAAATTGAAATGTAGAACTGACTTTCATACTGAAATATAGAACTGACTTTCATATTGAAATGTAGGATTTCTGCTGTATTTTGTATAGCGAATGTAGAAAACCGTAGACCCTTTTTAATGGAGGCGAGGCATTCCATCTTAGTCCTCAGAGATGACAATGTGTCTGCATTTTGATTCATAATGGAGGATAAATGTAAATGTTTATTAGCCACAGCATTGGCTTGACATCGAGTGGACTGAGAACTCGTTTGTCGCCCCTAATTTAAAAAAAAACCCCACGATAGTCACGATCAGCGTATAAGGTCCCCGCCATCGCTTTCTTAGTGAGATAGGCCTTCTAGCTCGCTGCTTATGCCGCCGTTCAACTCTTCACGCAACGCCACGCTTCAATATAGTGAATTTGTCTCGGTCAAGTAGTTTCGCTTTCTCTTATGCGTACTGATATTACAGAGTAAAATACTTTTATGTAATAATTAATATCTTTTATCACTTAAGTGTTAGATATTAGACTAAAAAAATTGATTTGAGAAATTTGGGGCCCATTTTTCTACCCCCAGATATAGGTTATTCATACGTACATTAAATGCATTCATTAAGCTATTAAATAGTTCTATTTTTATAGAATAAGTGTGAAAGTCCACCTGATGGTAAGTGAATGCTGTGTGTACATTTATTCTCGATTCTCGATTCCTGAGGATTAAGATGGAATGCCTCATTATCAGTAAAAGAGTCGCTGGTTTTCTACACACACCATAAGGAATACAGCAAGCAGCATTAAGTTACTACTTTACGCTGGTATTCTGTGAAAGCCGATCCATTTGTGCTGCCATAATATAGCTGTAGCGTTGTTCTACCACGCCAAGTTCAATTACTACTATTTTATTTAAAACTTGAGCCTGTTATAAAATATTGTTTATTTATATGCACTTTTATAATTACCCTACTTTTATAACGAGCCTTTTTCTCCCTAGTGATAGTTTTCCAAGTTGCGTTTATGTTCTTGATCTGTACGTGTTATAAAATTGAAGTGACTGTCTATAATATGAAACAACTGGCTTCTATTAAGCTCAGGGTGTTGTTTGCATGCTATCAAGATATAAATAAAAAAAAATTTTTTTTTGTGTCTTTTTACTGAAATGCCTGCAATTGTGATGAACTTTAACGAACAGATAGAGCAATGCCAGTAGGACCCTTTTTACTGGCAACGAGGCGTTCCATCTTAGTCCTCACGGGTGACAACGCATCTGCATTTTGATTCGTTATCGAGGATAGATGTAGATGTCTATGGGCCGCAGCAACCACTTAAAATCAGGTGGATTGTGTGCTCGTTTGTCACCTATCTTATAAAAAAAAAAAGAAAAAGTAGGGATCCATGCTATATTTTATACGAAAAACTTGAAGTTTTATTTGAAAAGACGAAAAATCGATAAAACAACCGGTATTTAATAATGATAAACATAAAAATGACACATTATTAGACTTAACCCAGGCGAAGCCAGGGTATTTCGCTAGTATTTAAATAAAATTTCATGACGTATGTAACTACTGCGTTAAACTCTCCACCCAACTGAGCATGTGTACAACGTACTTAAAATATTTAGAAATGGCTTATACCTTACATCGAGAACGCTTGTTTG